CTCATAGATGGATGTACCTGTAGATGCTGCTCTTCCAGGCTGCTCAGTGCTTCCAGTCAAAGTTAATGAAGGTGTGGAGCTTCCTGTAGTTGTGGCTGATGGTCCAGCTGCTGAACAAGAGCAGAGAGGAAAGTTTGACTTATAAATGTTTGGAGCTGTGAACAAGAAAAACACAAAGATTCAAAAATCAGCTGAGAAATCAAACGAGCCTTAAATGGATCCACTGATTGAGAAAAAACAGTTTGGCAAATTTAGTTTTAGATGAAAAAAAATGCACTAAAATAGTTTAACAATGAAATAAAATATGAATGTATGTTGAAATATCAGGTTCTTGGAAACAATAAAGACATTTCGGGACATTAATGGTCACCTGTTCATTTCCAGCTCCACACTCTTATTCCTGCTCTCCATCACAGTAACTTTACAAAATTCACACTTCAAAATAATTTTGTTTCTAAATAATTCTGTTTCTATGTTGAGATAAACTGAGTGCTGAGAGCAGCCTGAGCTGTTGGCTCACAGGGATTACTGTACAGACACTGAGCTCATTATTAGAAACTTTGCTCGTGTTTAACATGAACATCCACCGCAGGAACAGCAGATATATGACAGGAAATAAGGAACAGCTGAACAGCTCCACTCTGACAACATTTGATTAACGTCAGTAAAAACTCACCGTCTGTGACAGTGACCTCAAAGTCTCTGAATGACCTGCTGGAAGATCCACTCAGTTAACATGTGTACCGTCCTGAGTCAGACTTGGTCAGCTGTGTGATGCTCACATACACAACTCCTGGACCATATCTAATGTTGTATCTGTCTCTTTGACCTCTGTTATCATTTGTGTCAACAAGAAAGTTGTCTCCTCCACACTGTCCTCTGCAGAAGAACGCTGTGTTTCCAGAGAGTTTAAAGGAACATCCGACTGTGAGAGAGCTTCCAGTTTCTTTATCAAAGTGTTTCAGCTGATCATCGTTTCCATCCAGCAGTGCTGTTAAAGACACAAACGATCAATAGTTACTATCTGTGCTGAAGATGATGCAGTCTGATCAGAGTAACTCCAGTTTGATCCACAGTTACACTGGGAGCTGCCCAGTTCAACCAGTCTGACAGAGGAACTGTTGAACTAACTGAGATTTAAACGGCTTCATCATCAGACTGATTGGATTCATGAAAAATCAGCTTTTATGACAAGTATAGACTCTAAAATGTGA